CAAAATGCCCAAAATAATAGGGTATGGGGTTTATAGGGTATTGGGTTTATAGGGTTTATAGGGTTTATAGGGTTTATAGGGTTTATAGGGTTTATAGGGTTTATAGGGTTTATAGGCTTTATAGGGTTTATAGGGTTTATAGGGTTTATAGGGTTTATAGGGTTTATAGTGTTGTTTTGCAGGTTTAGGGTTTCTGGCTTTTTGCGGGGGCAGTTTCGCACAGAGAAGTCTTCAATGAGGGCCTCCAGATGGCCTTCAGGAACTTAGCGCCACGCCGACCAACCGGTGCCCTAGCTCCGCAAGCCCTAAACCCTAAACCCTAAACCCTAAACCCTAAACCCTAAACCCTAAACCCTAAACCCTAAACCCCAGACCCTAGAAGTGAGGAGGGGCAGCATGCAGATCACGAGCATTTTGTTGACTATATTCCGATGATTCAGACAAGATTAACGGATCTTTTCTGCTTTATTCCTATTACCCTTTATACTAGACTAGTAGTACGATTGCTACTAACCCTAAACCCTAAACCCAGCTGTCATTGTTGTTGTGACACCTTTGGACCTTCCCTTTGGTCATTTTGTGAAGAGAGGTGGGGCCAGCAGTGGCGGCGGCCTGTTCGGTCAAGCTGCCCCGGGAGGCCATGGGAAGCTTCCTGGCCACGGCATGAAGGCTTAGGAGGATTCAGGGCTGAGGGTTTGAGGTTGAGGGTGTAGGCTTGAGGGTTGAGTGAGGGTTTAGGGTATTCTGGTGTTCAGGGTTTAGGCTTGTCTTGCCTGCTTGCGGTACAGGAGTCCAAGTTCAGAATCATGTAAAACACAGCATTGCCAGCGTCAAGCCCATCAATCCCACCCGATACCCTGATGACGAAACCCATTGGTCCAACACGGACAGCAGTCGAGGGTTGCCGCCGGTTGGCCCTAAGCTCTAAGCCCAGAACGTAGGATGGAAGGTGAGCGGAGAGTAGGCCCTCATCTCCTTTATTTCTAAGGTCTTACGACCCCCTCGAAACCAACATGGGAACCCCTTTGATTCCTACTGTCGACGCCGAGGCTGCACTCAACCCACAGTTGTGATAATTATAAAGATCCATGTCTTATGACTATTCTGAGTATGGTTACGAGTAGTGCACTTGTTGGGGTTACCATGCTTATGGCAATTATTATCGCCGTATTGCTTTGATCATTTTCTTGCCATACCGGCCTTCTGCCAGTCTTGAAGAGAGGTGCGGCCAGCAGCGGTGGCGGCCTCTTCGGCCAAGCTTCTCCCAGTGGCGGCGGCCTGTTTGGCCAAGCTTCTCCAGGAGGCCATGGGAAACCCTCCAGCCACACAGAGGCTTGAAGAGTGTAGTAGGGTGGCTGGTCTTCCTGGAATTCAAAGGTCCGAATCCAAGATGTCACAGCACATCGCGTGTTCGGTTGAGTGGTACACAAGCGGGCCTTTCATGCCTATGCCCTACCCTAAAGAAAGCAACAAGCGCACCCTAAATCTTGAGCCCAAGGCCCGTACTCTAAACCTTATGCCCTGGACCCAACTACACCCGAAAATAGCGTCACACACACACACACACACACATCATTTTCACTACCCTGATTAAAATACAAATAAATAAAGACTATGTCATGTGTAGATCCTTATAAGGATAATATAGAAAAAACTGTATTGATGAGCGATGTCGAAGAGAGGTGGGGCCAGCAGCGGCGGCGGCCTCTTCGGCCAAGCTTCTCCCAGTGGCGGCGGCCTGTTTGGCCAAGCTTCTCCTGGAGGCCTTGGGGAAACCCTCCCGCCACGCACGGGCTTCAAGAGTGTAGGGGCTTTCGTAGTGTTGTCTGAATTTCAAAGTCCGACAAGAGAATATGCAAAACCAAGATGTCGCAATGCATCATATCTTCCACCACGGGTCGATGCAGTGTAATATCAGTGTCATGTCAGGGTAACTCCGAAGCCCTAAACCTTAAACCCTAAACCCTAGACCCTAGACCCTAGACCCTAGGCCCTAGACCCTAAACCCTAAACCTTAAACGCTAAGCGCCAAAAACCCTAAACGCTCAGCGCAAACCTTCATGCGCATGGCCGTAAAGAGCGAAGCACTTCCTCCTACACCTCGAGACCCCGAGGCTGGTTCGTTCCAACCTTTTTTTTTTCAACAGGCCGTTTTTTTTCTTAGGGTTTAGGGTTTAGGGTTTAGGGTTTAGGGTTTAGGGTTTAGGGTTTAGGGCTGGCCCCTTACTTTGGAAATGCCGACGTAGGTTCAACTCGGGGTCTTAAAGGTGAGATGGTACGAGATGCATTTGGCGAAGGCCGCGAAGTTTTCCGACTGTCCCAAGTGGTGCCCTGAATGCGAAAACCAGAGCTCTAAAGTCCTGAATGTGGAGCATCCTCAGAATAGAGTCATACACCTATGCAAGACGGTTGAAGAAGCCCCTAAACCCTAAACCCTAAACCCTAAACCCTAAACCCTAAACCCTAAACCCTAAACCCTAAACCATAAACCATGTCAATCTTAGGGTCGTCGTTGAAGAGAGGTGGTGCCAGTAGCGGCGGCGGCATGTTTGGCCAGGCTTCTCCTGGAGGCCATGGGGTGTTCTTGCCACAGCAGAGGTGTGTTATTTCTCAAAGGGGTTTCAGGGCTGAAAGGGTTTAGGGGTTATAGGGTGTAGGGTTTAGGGCTTAGGGCTAAAGTTTAGGGCTTATAGGATTTAGGGGGTAGGGCTTGGAGGGTTAGAGTCTCTTGCGAGCTCCTGAGCCCTGTGCAAGCCTTCGGCATCTCGCCCCTAGACGTTGACCCCAGTCCCTAACCCCTAAGCCCTAATCCCCAAACCCCAAACCCCAAACCCCAAACTCCGGAAATCAAACCCGAAACCCCAAAACCCAAACCCCAAACCCCGAACCCTAAACCCTAAACCCCTGTATCACCCCCCCAATAGAAGCCCCCCCAGAGCCCAGGCCTCTCGGGGGCCTTTGGAGCCTCGCCGTCCGCGCTGGGGGCCGGTGGAGTAGATGTGAAGCAGGCCCGAGTCGAAGATTCGTTTTTTTGGGGGGTTTAGGGTTTAGGGTTTGGGGTTTAGGGTTTAGGGTTTAGGGTTTGGGGTTTAGGGTTTAGGGTTTGGGGTTTTAGGGTTTAGGGTTTAGGGTTTGGGGTTTAGGGAGTAGGGTTTAGGGTTTAGGGTTTAGTCACGCGGTGGGCTAAGTTTGGTGGGGGTGCCGGGCTTGCAAGGAACCCTAAGCCCTAAAGCCAGAAACCCTGACAAGCTGAAAACGCCACAAACTCTCGGGCCCTGGTATCCCCTAACCTAAACCCTAAACCCCAAATCCTGGGGCCCTCCAGCCCTAAACCCTATTAAGAAATAAGAACTCTAAAGCCCTCAAGCATGGAAGGCCCAGGCCCTTAAGCCGTAAAATCCCGACCATTAAAAATGGTCTTCTTGTAGGTGTTAAGGTGTCGGGTGTGGGGGTGTATGGTCTCGGGTTGAGGGTTTAGGGTGCAGGGTGTATGGTGTAGGGTTTAGGGTTTAGGTTTTCTCTCTCTCGCCGAACTAGAAGCGTCCAAGGCGCTGCCGGTCCTGAATGAAATTAATTAAGAAGTCACATGACATCGTCTAGGAAGACACGCGGAGTCTCTCGCGCCCCCAGAACGATCGGTGGGGGACCCACCTCAGCAAAAATTGGGAGAGAGTCCTCCGGGCCTCTCCCCTTTGTGCGTCTAAAAGGGTTTAGGTTTTAGGGTTTAGGGTTAATTAACATTGTTGCGGATCCATGTCCCCAGCCTCTGGAGGCGTACCGAGAGCGGATGATCAAGATCTACCAGCAGCACAACCCCAGCAAAGTGACACTCGGGCGCAGGCCTTCCCTTAAGGACCCGGGAATTCGGGTTTAGGGTGTAGGGTTTGGGGCGTAGGGTTTTGGGCCCCGGGCTTTAAATGCTTTGCAATGTCATAGGAGGGGAGGGGGAGCAGTACGTTCAAGATCCACATGGGTTTAGAGCTTCGTTTTCCTGGAGGAGGCAGAAGCAAATAAGGTTTAGAGTCTGGGGCTTTAGAATTTGAGGGTTTAGGTGCACAGTGTACAATTGTAATTCCATGTTTCGGGAAGCGCAAAATCTCCCTAAACTGTAACCCTTAGGCTCAAGAAAACCAAAAACCGTAGCAGAACACAAGGGGAAACTAGTACTGAGCCTGAAGGCAGGTTTCTGGATTGTCCGAGGTGTAGAGCAGTCTTCCAAGCAGAACTTACAAATTAAAACGACAAATGGTTCGTTACTTCTCCAAAAAAAATTGTCCCCTTGAAGGGGGGGGGGGGGGGGGGTCCTGACTACAAGGCGGCCCCTCTTGCTTAGGGTACCCAAAAACTGGGTCTTGGAGTACTATACTTTAATACTTTTTTTGGTTCTGGGTTCCTATTATAGCTACTTATACCGAAAAGTATATACTTCTTTTCCAGGGTCTACTCCAAAGCTAAGAAAAGGGACCACATCTTAGAGGACTGACCAAATGCTGAGGAGTTGTAGGCAGCCCACGCTTATCATCAAGGCTCAGGGTTTGGTAGTTGAGATATTCCGGACTTGGCCCTCGCCTAAACCTTAAAGCCATAAAGCCCCAAAAGCCCTTAAACCCTGACCCCTACGAGCTCTAAGAGAGGAACCGTCCCCATTCTCAGGTCGGTCTAGAAGAGTGTTGAGGGTGGAGGGTTGGGTTGGGAGTTTGGAGTTTGGAGTTTAGGGTTTAGGGTTTAGGGTTTGGGGTTTGGGGTTTAGGGTTTAGGGTTCAGGGCTCACTCATCCCTAGCCCCTTCTACCCCGAAGCCATAGGCAGTAGATGTCTACGATGGTGTTGCTGAGTAGGGCTTAGGGCTTAGGGCTTAGGGCTTAGGGCTTAGGGTTTAGGGTTTAGGGTTTAGGGTTTAGGGGTTAGGTTTTCGGGATTAGGGTTTAGGGAATCATGCGCCCTGATCAGGGCTCTTGGTTCGCAAATGACATGTGAATTTAAATACAAGAGTATATGTATATGTCAGTATATGTTCAATATCTCTGTATATATATATATATACATGAGCATGTATGGAGCGTCCTTTTGTAAAAACCTAAACCCTAAACCCGGAAACCCTACTTCATGGAAAGCCCACAACAACAGTGAATCGTTCTTCGGAACTCGCTCCCATAGTATGGGGGGCGGGGTCTTACTCACAACCCAACCACTTGTCTCGGAAAGTTTCCCAAGAACCCGGTTTAGGGTTTAGGGTTTAGGAATCACAACTTAAGAAAAGTAGGTTTAAAGGTTTTGGAGGTCGATTTAGACCCCATAGCAGTTTTTCCTTTCGGCTGAGCATGTACCAAGAGGAGCGCAGATCACTCCGAATGCACTTACTCCTTTTGCACAGGTTTGCTGAAAGCTAGTTTAAAGGCCCCTGTGCCCTTAGACTGGCTGGTTCTTAGTAAAGACTGCGGGAATGAGGTACCTTATAGAGTACCTTAAAGGGTATATGTAGGGCCCTCATTCCCTCATTCCCTATTAAGAACCAAACGGGTTATAGGAACCCTACACCCTAAAACCTAAACCCTAAACCCTATTCCCTAAACCCTAAACCCTAATCCCTAAACCCTAAACCCTAAACCCTAAACCCTAAGCCTCTGAGGAATGAGATCGACGCCCTCATGGGCAAGTATGTCGGCCAGGAGCACACGATGTACCTCAAGATCTGCCACACGCCGGCACTTTAGGGTTTAGGGTTTAGGGTTTAGGGCGTAGGGGTCAAAATCTGCCCTGCGCCCGCACCGGACAGAACACCCGAAGACCCAAAGCTGGTTTACTTATCCGAGAGAAGCTGCACAAATACATGTTTCCCGGGCTTCCAAGTGCAGTTTAAGTTTAGGTTCTGGGTGCGGGGCGTTCCTTTTTTTGGATGTTTACTTTACTCTTGGTATCCCAAAATGGACGCCCAATTCACGCAACTCACCCGTATTCGCACGGAACCCTAAACGCTTCACCCTAGAATCCTACACCCGCACCACCCCGGCTCCGTCGGCGAAGTCTCCGCCCCTCCCCCCCCCCCCCCCCCTCCACCCCCTCCCCACTCCCCCTCCCCCCTGCCCCCCCCCCCTCCCCTCCTTCCCCCCCCAAGCCGCGACACAGACGAACACAGGGGCCTTCTTGCCTTTTGTAGGGTTGAGGGTTAAGGGTTGATGGTGAAACCCTCAACCCTAAGCCCTAAACCCTAAACCCAAAGCTGGATGTCTATACCAGGGGCCCACCCTTTGAGGTTTCTGAGCCCCTGGAACTAGAGGTTTGGGGTTTCGGGTTTAGGGGTTCAGGCATGGAGGGTTTAGGGTTCATGGTGCCCCTTTGATATCCGAGGCACCCCCAAAAAGGGGGATGTTTAGGCCTCGGGAGCCCACAGAGTCGCTGTGCCCCTGACGAAGCCGAGGCAAGAAGTACAACGTGCATCCTGGCCTGAGCGAAGTTGCCTTGTGTGGGTTAAGGCACTACTATTTGCTGAAGAACCTCCAAAAATGAGGTACTGCTGCTTCCTTCCTCCAAAAATGAGGTACTACTACTTCCTGAAGAACCTCCAAAAATGAGGTACTACTACTTGCTTAAGAACTTCCAAAAACACAACGATTCTTTTCAGGGCAGGGCAATTTCGGGATCATTATCTTTTAGTGTTTTTTGGGGGGTTCCCCCCCAATGTCGCCCTAGTCGAGATGATTACCACGAGTATCTCCCGAAAAATCTCTAGCGGCAACCAACAAACTTCGAAACCCCAAACCCTATAAAACCTGACCCCAAAGCCCAAACCCCTGCAAAATCATTGGCCTTGTAGCCTTACACCCCAACCCCTAATCCCTGAACCTCCTAAACCCTAAATCCAACCAGCCTAGAACCTAAACCCCAAACCTCAAACCCTAAACCCTAAACCCCAAAACCTAAACCCTAAACCCTAAACCCCAAACCCCAAACCCTACACCTGAGCCTAGGCAGCCTGAGCCCGAGATTCGAGGGGCGGCCTCCCCTGGCCTGGGAAACACCGGAGGCTGCGGGAACCGAAGAACTCGGACCCAGAGTAGGCCCCTTTTTTAGGGTTTAGGGTTTAGGGTTTAGGGTTTAGGGCTAGGACCCGGAGTAGGCCCTTATTCCGTTTTTAGGGTTCAGGTGCCCTTAGAAGCCCCCCTTTAAAGCAAAAAGGGCACCCTCTCTTCCCAGGCTAGTCCTGGTTTGGGGTTTGCGGTTTAGGACTCAGGGCTTATAGGGCTCAGAAACTCAGGGTTTGGTAGGGTTTAGGGTTTAGGGTTTAGGGTTTGGGGTTTAGGGTTTCGGGTTTAGGGTTTAGGGTTTAGGGTTTAGGGGTTTAGGGTTTAGGGTTTGGGCTGAAATATATTGGGGTTCAAGGTTTGGGGCTTAGAGTTTGGGGTTTAGGGCTTGGGGTTGAATCAGGGTTGAGGGTTTTGGGCCGCGTGGGCTAATGAAGCCGGTTGATTCGTTCAATTAGTGAAACCGATTCATGGCTGTTGCATCAATCTTGAAGCACTAAAGTTTGTCCAGGACGCTTTGGACCTGACTGTTCATGTTATCATACTGATGAAGTCACTCCTGAATGGTGACATGTGGCAGATCAGTTGCCAGAGGGCAATTGAAGTACAGATTACGTGGATCGTTGGTGTAATTTATGCCTTGTTTTGCAGTGGAAACATATGAAGCGCATACCCCAGTGCGACTGAAGAACATGTTGTCGGGTCCTATCCCCCAAGAGCTGTGCTCTTTGAAAGTTCAAAAGAGCAACGCTGAAAGTGTGCAGCCTTCTCTTGGCATCAAGCGCCAGAAGGTTTTGGGCTTTGGCCTTAGGGCTCCTTACCAGGTAGTCCCTCCTGAATTGGAATGTGAGGTACATGTTTATTCAGGGGCTTGAAGGGCCAGACCCTAAACCCTAAACCCTAAACCCTAAACCCTAAACCCTAAACCCTAAACCCTAAACCCTAAACCCTAAAAAGCCGTGGCAGGCGGCCTCTTCGGCGGTGCCGCTGCGGGCTCGCCCTTCGGAGGGGGCGCAAGCTCAGGCCGTATTGGGACGGAGGGGTTGGGGTTTAGGGTTTAGGGTTTAGGGTTTAGGGTTTCGGGTTTAGGGTTTAGGGTTTAGGGTTTAGGGGTTGTTGGGCTCAAAGTATAGGGCTTGTAGAGGTGACAGGGTTTGTTTCGTGAAAGGGTGGAAGGCGAGCTAAGGGCCTCGAGAAGGGCGTGCAGGGCTTGAAGTGCTTAGGATGATGTGGGGGGATATAGGTTTCGTGGGTTTGGGCTGCAGGGTTTGGGGGGGACGAAGAAAGCAGGGTTTGGGGTTTGGAGTTTGGCCTGGGTTGCAGACTAGGGCAAAGTCTTCGTGATCTGATAGTCAAGCTGGCCTCGCGAAGAAGAGCCTCAACCCCTAGGTAGGCAGGCACCTGGGATGTGTTGTGTTTTGTGCCCTTATTGGGTTTAAGAGATTCTCTTCAAGAATATCCTTCAGAAGGCTTGTTATGGGCCATCCTAGACTCTGAACATGTTCCCACTTATGCCAACAGTCCCTGATGGGGATTATAGTACCCGCAAGTATAGTCCCTATCAAGGACTGTTGGTATAAGGGGGGCAAAATCCCAAAACATATGTTCCACCCTAAACCCTAAACCCTAAACCCTAAACCCTAAACCCTAAACCCTAAACCCTAAACCCTAAACCCTAAACCCTAAACCCTAAACCCTAAACCCTAAACCCTAAACCCTTAAAGGTTCTGGGCTGCAGGCGCCCGGAAAACCCGAGAGAACTCCGTCCCGGGCCTCCCTCAGCCCTTTCACCCTACCTGGACCCCCGAGTTGTCCAATAACCCCCCCCCCCCCCCCCCCCCCAGTTTAGGGTTTAGGGTTTAGGGTTTGGGGTTTAGGGTTGGGTTTAGGGTTTGGGGTTTAGGGTTTGGGGTTTAGGGTTTAGGGTTTGGGGTTTGGGGTTTAGGGTTTGGGGTTTAGGGTTTGGGGTTTAGGGTTTAGGGTTTGGGGTTTAGGGTTTAGGGTTTGGGGTTTCGGGTTTAGGGTTTAGGGTTTAGGGTGTCAGGGTTTGGGGCTTTTGGAGGGCTCAGGGTATGTAGACTGTTCTGGTGCGAAGCATGGCGAGATCCAGGTAGCTGCAAGTTCTGAGCCTCCGAGCCTGGTGGGCTCCTTCTGAGAGCAGTTTCATGGCCATTAATATGGTCCCTTACCTCCCTTAAAGGGTTCTGATGTATGGGCCCCTGTTTGAATACGGTATATAAGGGGTATATATGGAGTCCCCTTCAAGGGCCCATACTAAGGGACCATGTAACTACCCTAACCCTAAACCCTAAACCCCTAAACCCTAAACCCTAAACTCTAAACTCTAAACTCTAAACCCTAAACCCTAAACCCTAAAGAACCCTAAGTCCCTGTGGAGGAGGGGGCCTCTTCGGCGGTGGCGCTGCCGCCTTCGGGTCCGGCGCGAGCTCAGGAGACTGATGGGTTCAGCGATTTGGACTTTCTTTGTGTGGGTTTTAGGGTTTAGGGTTTAGGGTTTAGGCTTAGGGTTCAGAGTTTAGGTTCAGGGATGAACGATGCTCCCTTTTTAGGGTTAGGTGAGGTCGGGGGTTGTAACCTCCCTCACGCCCTGGTCTGCCGTCGCCTGGTGGCACCGGCACCGCCTGCAGCATTGAAGTCAGGACAGGGAGGGGCTGGCTCTGTATTGCACCGGTTCGTTCTGTACATCCGAGCTCCTACCAAATGATCCCTGAAAGGGTTTCTGGTTCAAAATACCTTAATGGGAGTTGTAGTAGGATAGGGTACATGACCCGAGTTTTTAGGGTGCATTTTTGGTGTCCCTAGGGGTTTGTTGTATCTTGCCAATGCCACTACGAGCCCCGCGGGCGGACCATGACGAGAGCACAGCTGCCCCCGATACATGTGCTCGGCCTTCGATGGGGTTCAGGGTTTCTAGGGTTTAGGGTTCAGGGATTAGAAGGTTTAGGGTTTTATAAGGTTTAGGGTTTAGGGTTTTGGGTTTTGGGTTTAGGGTATAGGGTTTATGGTTTATGAGGTTTAGGCTTTTCTAAGGTTCAAGGTTTAGGGTTTGGGGTTTATAAGGTTTAGGTTTTAGGGTTTAGGGCTGAGGTACCTAGCCGCCGCACGGCCGCGGTTTTGTCGGCGGGTCTGGCAGCGACAAAGTGTCGTCGGGCGGCAGGACCAGGTTTCTCTGCTGTGGACACCAGCGGCGTCGAGCTCGGCGAGGAGATTCTGGAATTCTTGGCATGGGGCCCGACCACAGTGAACAGACCTTCCTTGAAGCCCTGGCGCGGCGCCCAATGTCTCCGAAAGCGCTGCGCCGTTCCCACGAATGCGCCTGCCAGGCCTCTCATATAGGGGTCGGCTGAATTGATGCTCCCTATATTGTTATGCTACAAATAATACCCAAAACCCTCGTCGATTTATGAAGGCACCTATGTTGGGTCTTCCATGGTCTCTGAATCGGAGCAAGCCCGAGTGGCCCGAAAGCCTCTACCTTAAAGGGCCTCAAGGCGATATGGAGCATCCCTAGACGGCACTGAAGTTTCCTAAACCTCCCAAACTCCGTTAATTTAGGGTTTAGGGTTTAGGGTCTAGGGTTTAGGGTTTAGGGTTTAGGGTATTCTAAACCCCCTATACCCCAAAACCCGCAAACCCCAAGTGCAAAATCCTGGATACCGCAGAAGGCTTAGGGTTTGGGGCTTGTATAGGGTTTTAGCCCAGGGCTTCCAAAGCAAGGCGCAAAGCCCCTCCCCCCCCCCCCCCCCCACACCCTAAAGCAATTGAACAACCATAAGAACCCAAACAGATCTCTTAACGAACAAGTGATATCCGCAAAAGCCTCAACTCTATACCCTAATTGCAACCCCATGCCTACGTAAACCCCAAAGCCTCTACCCTTTTCCAACCCGAAATCTAAACCTCGAACCTCAAAACCTCAACTTCAAAGCTCAAACCCTAAAGCCTAAAGCCTAAACCCAAAAACGCTAAACCCTAACCCTAAACCCTAAACCCTAAACCTAAACCCTAAACCCTAAACCCTAAATCTCAAACCCGAAACCCTAAACCCTAAACCTTTGCAGGAGGAGGGCTCTTCGGCGGGGGCGCTGCAGCGTCGCCCTTCGGCGGAGCCGCTGCGAGCTCTGGAGGAGGCTCCGGGCTTAATTCCAGGGTTTTAGGTGTAGGGTTTAGGGTTTGGTTTAGGGTTCAGGTTTAGGGTTTAGGGCTTAAAGATCTCAATTCCTGAAACCCTCAAAAGCCTTGAGTCCTTAAACCCGAAAACCCCAAATCCTAAACCCTTCAACCCTCACATCCTCAAGCCCAATCTTCCAGTGGTGTTTTTTTGGCCTACCTTTTCCCCGCTTAGGTTTTGCCGTGCTTAGGGGATTCGGGATTTTGTGTTTTCTGCACACCTGCACTCAACCCTAAACCCTAAACCCTAAACCCAAACCGGCAAGCCAGAAGCCCCTGAGGCCTGTTCGGTGGCGGCGGCGCCGCCGCATCACCCTTCGGGGTGGCGCAGGCGATGGACGGGAACCCTCTCAGGTTTCGAGTGAAGCAGCTCCTAATTTTGTTTGTGTGTGTCTCAGGGTGTCAGGGTTAGGTTTAGGGGTTCAGGGTTAGGGTTTCAGGTTCAGGGTTCAGGGTGGGATGATGGGGGTACTATCCCTGTTAAAGGACTGTTAGTGTTGAGGGGGAACATCCCAAGCCAAGTCTCGGGTTTGGCCCTAGCCAAAAGGCGGCACTTGTGCAATCTTGGGTTGAACTGGGAAACCGGTGGGGTAAGCAGATCATTTGGGGGCTGGTGGTTGGGGGCTTAAGGTTGCAGGGGGGGGGGGGGTGGTTAGAGTTCAGGGGTTAGGGTTTAGGGTTCAGTAGTTTAGAGTTTACAAGGGGTTTAGGGTGTAGGGTTACTTTCGGGGTCGGAATAATTTAGTAATAATGTTCCCTTCTGGTCCCGTTGTACATATACTATAATAACCCCCAAAACCCTATTCATATTATTAAGGCCCCCCCATATTAGGGTTTTATGGTTAGGAAGAGGGTGAAGGGTTTCAGGCTGAAGAAGTGCGGGTGGGATCGGAAGACTCCTTCTAAACCCTAAAACCTAAACCCTAAACCCTAAACCCTAAACCCTAAACCCTAAACCCTAAACCCTAAACCCTAAACCCTAAACCCTAAACCCTAAACCCTAAACCCTAAACCCTAAACCCTAAACCCTTCCCCTGCTTGAAGGATTATGGATGATTGGCTCAAAAAGTAGGGTTTAGGGGCTTTGAGTTTTGGATTTTGGCTTGGACCTCAAACAAAAAGTCTAGACCCTGAAACCAAATTCCCAGCTTTGTAAGAATCTGGTGTATCGTTCATTTCTTTAAATACCTAGCGAAGTGGTTAGTATCGCTTTACTTAAACTCCTTTCTTGGGACACATGACTGTGTGGTTAGCATTGCATGGAGTTTTCAAGGAATCATGAGGTACCACCCCCCCGTAGGCTCCGGTCGCCCCTGTGTAGCGAGGATGAACCCCTCACTTTGAGAATACCAGGGGTTTAGGGGTCTCGGGGTTTGGGGCGTAGAACCCTAAATCCGAAACCCCTACAACCCTAAACCCGTGAATTCCAAAACCCCTACAACCCCAAACGGCTAAACCCAAACCCCTGAACCCTAAACCCCTACAACCCTGAACCCCTAAACCCTAAACCCCTACAACCCTCAACTCTCCGACACACCAGGTGTCTTCGGTGGTGGAGGGTCGCCGTCACCCTTCGGCGCCGGGGCAAGCACAGGCAGCCCTAAAAGGTCTAGGGTTTAGGGTAAGCCGTATAATCAGTTATAGTAGTACAGGGTATATGACCCAACTTTAGGATTCATAACTTTGGGGTTCATGTGGTCCCAAGGGCAGAGGTTTGGACCCTGTGGCTCCCATAAACTCGGAGCGTCCTTAAACCCTGATCCTTAAACCTTATATGAGTTGGTGGTCTCTTTAAGTAGGGTTTCTGTTTTATAGGGGCATATATTCGGGGTTCTTATTAAGGTACCTAGGGGCTATGTAGGGTTTAGGGTTCAGGGTTTAGGGTTTAGGGCCTACACCCTAAGCCCCCTAAGCGCCCCTCTGCTTGCGGCTGGCAGGAGGAGGGCTCTTCGGGGGTGGCGGTGCTGCCGCCTCGCCCTTCGGGGGTGCTGCCGCAGGCTCCCAGCCGATTGGGGCTTGCAGGTTTAGGGTTTAGGGTTTAGGGTTTAGGGTTTAGGGTTTAGGGTTTAGGGTTTAGGTTTTAGGGTTAGAACCCCCTCAACCTTAAGCCTTTCAAGCAGCCCGAGTCCCACAGTCTTCAGCCGTTTTGCCCTACAGCCCTGCAGACCCGAACCCGATGAGCCCTGAAGCCTAGAAACCCTTCTAGATTAGGGTTTAGGGTTTAGGGTTTAGGGTTTAGGGTTTAGGGTTTAGGGTTTAGGGTTTAGGGTTTAGGGTTTAGGAAAACCCTCGAAATCCCTGGCCAAAAAACCCTTGAACCGCCCTGCAAAATTTTAAACCCTAAACTCGAAACACCCTAAACCCTAAACCCTAAACCCTAAACCCTAAACCCTAAACCCTAAACCCTAAACCCTAAACCCTAAACCCTAAACCCTAAACTCCAAACTCCTAAACCCTAAACCCTAAACCCCCACGGGCCTGTCCGCAATGAAGGGCTTGCAGCCATCTTCGACCATTGAAAGCCATCAACTTGAGGCGCTAGAGCCTGGGATGCCCCCAGTGCTACCCTTCTTCCCTTTTAGGGTTTAGGGTTTAGGGTTTAGGGTTTAGGGTTTAGGGTTTAGGGTTTAGGGTTTAGGGTGTAGGGTGTAGGGTGTAGGGTGTAGGGTGTAGGGTGTAGGGTGTAGGGTGTAGGGAAACCCCTTTAAGCAACAAGAAAACAAGGAAAGGGTGCATATAGGGCAATCAGATCAAGGGTCCCTTCTAGTGGTCCCTCCTTATACCCCCTAACACTGGCTTCTCAGAGTAACCCTACTGACCTACTGGGGACTCACGACTGCGAGGTTCAACTGGGGTTCGCTGGCACCAAAAAGATTTCGGACCCTAATGCTTTAACGAACCCTAAGCCCTGAAAGCCTCAACCGATCCCTGAAACCTTATAGATAGATAGAGTGTGTATGGAAGCCAGATATTTCCAGAGTTTGGGTGTTCGGGTTTAGGGTTTTAGGATTTCAGGCTTTAGGCTTTAGGCTTGAGGCTTTAGGCTTTAGGCTTGAGGCTTTAGGCTTTAGGCTTTAGGCTTTAGGATTTACGCTTTAGGCTTCAGAGTTTGGGGTTTAGGGCTTAAGGCTTGTGACTTCCTTGAAAGGTGGCCTCTTCTCACAAGCTGCAGCTGGCGGGGCCATGGACGTCAAGCAGGCAGCTGCCCCAAAGAGTTTCGGGTGTTTCAGGTTTAGGGCAAGTTTTGGGGTTAAGCTTAGTGCGAGGGGTTAAGCAATAGACCCCGAAACCTAAACCCCTAATCCCTAAACCCTCGAACCCTAGAACCCTAAAACCCTAAGCCTAAGACCCTAAGACCCTAAGACCCTAAGACCCCAAGACCCCAAAACCCTAAACCCTCAATCCCAAGCCCGTCATGCAAGAGAGGGAGAGCGAGTTCCCACTTCGGCCGCTATCTTTTGACTTCCAAGACGTATCAAAGATGCAGAGGTACTTAGGGTGTTTAGGGTTTAGGAGAATTTCTGGCAGTTTAGGATTTAGTTTTAGGGGAGAGGGTTATCTGTTGACTTCCAAGACGTATCAAAGATGCAGAGGTACTTAGGGTTTTGAGGGTTCAGGGTTTAGGGCTTTTTCTGGCTTTTTAGGGTTTTAGTTTTAGGGGAGAGGGTTTGCCTCATTTTTGAAGCCCTGCTTAGGGCTTAGGGTTCGCCTCATGCTTGAAGCCCTGTGAGCCCCCTAAGCTCCCTCAAGCCCTCGACAAGAGCGCGAGGCCTACCGGGAGCGCATGATGCGGATCTACCAGCAACACAACCCCAGCAAGCTGACGCTCCGGCTCTTTGGGGTTTAGGGTTCAGGGTTCAGGGTTCAGGGTTTAGGGGCACAACCCCAGCAAGCTGACTCTTCAGCTCCACTTAGCCGCATCAAACAAACCCAAGCCTCCTCAACCTCCCAAGCCCAAGCAACTAGGGTTTAGGGTTTAGGGTTTCGGGTTGTTGATTCATGGAGGTTTTGGGCCTGCAGGGTTAAGGGCTCATAGGACGTATGAAGGGCTTTGTAACCCATAACCCTTCATTTCCTGAGTTAGAATGTTTAGGTGAAGCCGCGTTTTAAAGGTGGAAAGGAAGGAACCCCCCCCCCCCCCTCCCCACCCCATAGGAAACCCTAGGGATGGTGTAAGGCGATTTCTTCTTGGGAGGTCGGGGTACTTCTATCCCAAGGAGACATGGGCTTGTGCAGTAGGGGTTCTTCTTGACATATTCCGAAGACGTTCTGGAGCTCCGCTTAAGCCTGTTCCCTCGACACCAACCCAGCCCCACACCCCCCCCCGTAAAGTTGATGCTTCTGCCACCTGTGCCAAAACTCGCTGACAGCCCCTAAACCCTAAACCCTAAACCCTAAACCCTAAACCCTAAACCCTAAACCCTAAACCCTAAACCCTAAACCCTAAACCCTAAACCCTAAACCCTAAACCCTAAACCCTAAACCCTTCTCACTCTTTCTTGGGCAACCTACAAGCCCCAAGGCTCCATGTACCTATATCGTATATACCAAGGGGCCTTCAAGGGGTTCCTACATAATGGGCTTTATGCCCCAAGTATATGCTATATAGGCCTATATAGGTCCATGGACCCCTAAACCCTAAACCCTAAACCCTAAACCCCTAAACCCTAAACCCTGAACCCCAAACCCCAAACCCTAAACCCTAAACCCTCAACCCTGTGAGGGAAGGTGCATGAGCCCAGGGATTTTTTCTGACCGACGCCCCGGAGCCCCTTAGGAATGAGATCGACTCGCTGATGGCAAAATACGTCGGCCAGGAGCACGTCATGTACCTGAAGATCTGCAACAAGCCCCTCGGAGCTTTCAATAGGGTTTAGGGTCTAGGGTTTAGGGTTTAGGGGTTTAGGGTTTAGGGTTTAGGGTTTAGGGTTTAGGGCAACAAGCCCCTCGGAGCTTTCAACAAGCCCCCAAAGCCCTCAAACCCCTTAAACCCCCTTAAACCCCTTAAGACCCCCTGAAACCCCTTAAGCCCCTTAAACCCCAATCACTCTTTGAATATGCTAAATGCAATCGTAATGCAAATGCATAAGGTGTTGTTAACTTTGAGCAAGCCGAGTACACCCTTTCAAACCCTTGAAGCCTCTTCCCCCCCCCTGCCTTAAATCCTAAGTCCTAAGCCCTTATGCCTCTGTACCCTTAATTGTTAGCCTTCATACACCCCCCTAAATACATTCCTTCCAAACCCGGCCCTAAGCTCCTTGCGCACAAACCAGGATACCCAGTGGCACCCTCATTCTCTCATGCTTCGGGGGTTAGGGTTTAGGGTTTAGGGTTTAGGGTTTAGGGTTTAGGGTTTAGGGTTCAGGGCTTAGGGTTTAGGACTTCGGTTCCCTTGTCAACCCTGTTAAACCAAAAAAAGGGCATCCTTTGCATGATTGCGTTGCCGGCAACTAAACCCTAAACCCTAAACCCTAAACCCTAAACCCTAAACCCTAAACCCTAAACCCTAAACCCTAAACCCTAAACCCTAAACCCTGCAAAGGTACAAGGTCCAGCCTGAGCCAGAGATCCGGGCCGGAGGAGCTGGAGGCCGTCGGTTGCGTTGGATTCAGGGGGGCTTTGGGGGGGTTGAGGGTTTAGGGTTTAGGGTAACCTAAGGGGGCTTTTGGGGGTTGAGGGATATTAGTTTAGGGATGTAGGGGCTGAAGGGATTAGGGCTTTGGGGCTTTGGAGGGTTTAGGGTTTAGGGTTTAGGGTTGTAGGGTTGTAGGGTTTAGGGTTTAGGGTGTAGAGTTCTGTGGGGTTGGGAGTTCAGGGGTTTGCGGGTTTAGTGTTGCGAAGGTCGGCAGGACTTTCCCGAGTTCATGTGTAGCACAAGGGATTAACCCTAAACCCTAAACCCTAAACCCTAAACCCTAAACCCTAAACCCTAAACCCTAAACCCTAAACCCTAAACCCTACACCCTAAACCCTAAACCCTAAACCCTAAACCCTAAACCCTAAACCCTAAACCCTAAACCCTAAACCCTAAACCCTAAACCCTAAAGCTCCTAAGAGCTGGGCTTCGATTTCCCAGCACATGGCATTTCGTGTGGCCGGAGGGTGTCCTTGACAGAGGCTCTTGCAGGTCTGGGCTGTCGATCTGCATGTTGCACAGCTACTTAGGGTTTAGGGTTTAGGGTTTAGGGCTAGGAATGCCTGCAAAGCCCGCAGGGAAGCAAAAGCGCTGGCCATCATCCCGGTGAGAGGACTGGATCCTGGGCTGCCGTACATATGCCACGCGCCACGCGATCGGCCAAACCGAGCATGGCACTTCCTGTCGGAAGACTCCTGCTTTCCTTTACAGCCATTCGGGGCTCAGGCAGAAGGCTAAGCTGGCTGCTGAGCATCTGCCCAGGGTTAGGGTGTAGGCTTTAGGACTTAGGGTTTAGGGTTAGCATAAACCCTAAGCCCGAAACCCTAAACCCTAAACCCTAAACCCTAAACCCTAAACCCTAAACCCTAAACCCTAAACCCTAAACCCTAAACCCGAAACCCTAAACCCTAAACCCTAAACCCTAAACCTTGATACGGCTTTACCTACATGAGCTCTCTGCTAAGGTGCCTTTGGCGCGCCCATGGGTGGCGCACCCATGGGCGGCGCACCCATGGGCGGCGCACCCCTGGGAGGCGCACCCATGGGCGGCGCGCCCATGGGTGGTGGATTCGGAGCATCCATGCTGCCCGGTGCAACGTGATTTAGGGTTTAGGGTTTAGGGTTTAGGGTTTAGGGTTTAGGGGTTAGGGTTTAGGGTTTAGGGTTTAGGGTTTAGGGTTTAGGGTTTAGGGTTTGAGGTTCAGAGTTTTAGGCCTGAGGTTCCAGGGTTAAAGGCTTGCGGGGTTTAGGCTTGGGATGATCCCCCTTTGCAACTGAAGATCATCATACGGCCTCTTCTCAATCACTCACTGACTCAATGACTCCAGAGACTGTTGCGGGGCTAAATCCGCCTCCCCTAACTTCCGGTTTAGGGTTTAGGGTTCAGGGTTTAGGGTATAGGGTTTAGGGCTTAGGGTTCAACCCCAAACCCTTTCACCCTACAGCCCTATAGCCCTCTAACCCGAAACACCCTAAACCCTGAACCTTGTGTCCACATCCCCCTACAACCTTATAGCCCTAAACCCTAAACCACCCTAGCCTATAATCCTATTACCCCTTGATGCAGTAGCAACCCGTTGGTCCCTGAATCCTCAGCCCCAAGCCTAACCCGCAACTGGGTCGGGTTTGGTAGGGTTCAGGGATCAGAGTTCAGGTTTCAGGGTTTAGGGTTTATAGGGTTTAGGGCAAGTACATTGGGAAATGATGTGGATCAGAGAGTCCTGGCCAGAAGTCGTTGGGGAAGTATACCTAGCTAGTTCTACAGTTCTACACCCAAAGGCATAAAACCCTAAAACATCCTAAACTCCCAAGCCCTGAAGCCATAGAATCCTCCACCGAAACCCTAAACCCTAAACCCGAAACCCGAAACCCGAAGCTCTAAACCCACCCCAGGCAGATGGGTGGCTTCGGTGGCGGAGGTCTGGGCGGCTTTGGCGGCGTCGGAAATCAGATGGAGTGCTAGACTTCCGGAAAAAAGGGAGGCTCGAGCAGGTACAGGGTACAGGGTTTAGGGGTTAGGGTTTAGGGTTTAGGGTTTAGGGCTTAGGCTTAAAGAGGATCATGTTGGGCATATGTTCCGAGTTTTTTTTTTGGCGTAGGGTCGAGGTCTATAGGTTCTGTAAGGCTCGGAGGTGGTCAGATGGTCTTGAATCCGCTTTGAATCTTACCGAAAAGCTTCGTAAGGGTCCATGAACCTACAGAGTACAATTTTAGGGTTTGGGGTTGACGGTTTAGGTTTCAGGGTTTAGGTTAATTATATGCTTGGGAATTTCTGTTGCCGAAAAAGAATAAGGCCCAAGCCCAACCTGTCCATGCCCTCTTTCCTGCGGCCGACAGGTTGCGCAGCACGTAGGGTTTAGGGTTTAGGGTTTAGGGTTTCGGGTGTACGTAGGGTGTAGGGTGTAGGGTGTAGGGTTTAGGGTTTAGGGTTTAGGGTTTAGGATTTGGGTTTAGGTTTAGGGTTTCGGGATACAGCTCCATGATGAAAAAACTTCAGTTCCCCATGCTTGAGGAAAAATGCCCTTAAACCATAGCTGGGGCATGTTTTTGTATTGAGCGGGACTGGACTCTTCTGGATTCTCATGATCCTCAACCCTAAACCCTAAACCCTCAACCCTAAACCCTAAACCCTAAACCGTAAACCCTAACCCCGCTTCAGACTTTCGAGGGAGGCGTGTCCGCCTGACAGCAAGCAGAATTCACTACTCCAAACATCACACACGCAGCCCGCGATCTGCAACCTTCAGGTTTAGGGTTTCGGGTTTAGGGTTTAGGGTTTAGGGTTTCGGGTTTAGGGTTTAGGGTTTGGTTAGGGTTCACATTGCAGAATGTTCGCCGCTTCTTGAGATATATCTTGCACGGAATGCGGTGTCTCTGTGCAGTTTACTTGAATCTCATTCTCTCTCCCGAGCCAAAGCAATCACACCCTTTCTACTCCCTACCGCGACTCCCCTGCCTTGAAAGGGTCCATGCGCCTATATAGTAGGTTTAGGGTTTAGGGTTTAGGGCATTTGTAGTATTTGCTTAAGGTCTTTGAACTTTACATAACAGCCCCTAAACCCTAAACCCTAAACCATAAACCCTAAGCCCTAAACCCTAAACCCTTTGGGCTCACAGGTCCACAGGGCCACGCACCCTAAGAACCCGCAGATG